TCTGAGGACACTATTGATTCACATTCAGCAATGACCTCATCCTCCTTAAATTCAAGGAAGGGTAAGATCATCTTATGAATCTTTTTCCCTATTTCACAATTTAAGTGCAATTGAGCAATATTAGTATATAAGCGCTTAGCAATTAAAAAAAAAACATTCCTTTGTTTTAAAAACTTTAAATTGTCTCGTTGCAAATAAATACTTTCATCCCTAGCCCTATTTAACTTCGCCTCCTTCAGATCAATCCACATCCTTCTCTCCTCACTCTTTGAAGACACCCTGCTGAGTTGGTCAGTTAGGTTAGAGTTCGCTAAGCGAGTTTGCATGAGACTACCACTTAAGTTAGAAAATTTAAATTTTAATTCACTTAATTCTTTTTCATAATTTGTTACTGGAACTTTAAGTGATTCAAGGATGGATTGTACCTTTTTGATCAGCCGATCACAGTCGTTGATCTTCTCACTCACGGGCTTGGCTGCAAAGCACTTGTCCTCAGTTAGGTTCGGCTCCTTACTCTCACTTTCGGTTGATCTACCAGCTGTAACCACCAAACATCTTCCAGCCGAACTTGCATCCCTCGCCACATAAGCTCTTCCATGCGTGGGCTTTCTCACCTCTTCATCCTCAGAATCGGTTGACCAGACTTCAACGCCACCGAATTCATCCTCATCTGCATTTTCCTGCACAATCAAGGCATTCATTGAACTGTTAGTTGCCTTCTTTTTCTTGATCTCTTCCAACTTTCGCATGTAGTACGCCTCATCATCTTCACCATCTCTTTTCTCAGCCATCTTCCTCAGCATGCAATCTTTGGCAAAGTGGTTCTTGCCATGACAGTAATTGCAGTCGAATCCAGAGTCTCCTGCAAGCTTGCTCTCCTTCTTGTCTTCATCCTTTTGAGAAGTATTCTTCGCTTCATCTTTCACCTTCTCAGAACTGTAACTTCCCTGCCAGTTTCGGTTCTTATTGACAGGAAATTTCCTTCGTGCAAACTTCTTTGGATTGGTGACCATCATAGCATATTCTTCGCTTGTAAGGTCACACTCAGACATATCAGACTCCTCCTCTTCTTCTGCAACGCTTTTTCCTTTTGAAACAAGGGCCAATGATCCCACACCCGAAACTACCTTCGCTTCCTTGGTTACCACACTCTCATGGGACTTAAGTATTCCCACAAGTTTCGCTAGTGAGTAAGATTTAAACTGTTCATGTGCTTTCACTGTTGAAACCACATCCATCCATTCTGGTCTCAAACCATTCATGAAGGTTACCTTTTGCTCGATCAACTTCCTTTCTAGACCATGCTTGATCATCTTTCTTAGGAGATGATTGAAGCGATCGAAGGTTTGTATCAGTTTCTCTTCTGGTTTCTGTTCGAAAACACCAAATTCTGAGAGCAGCAAGGTTTGAATAGAGTGTTCTAGATCTTCATCGGTTGAGTAGAGTTCCTTCAACCTATCCCAGATTTCTTTAGCCGTCGTGTATGAACCAACTAACCGAAAGGTGTCAGATTGCAAAGCGAATCTGATCATTCTCATGGCCTTCACATTACATAACAACTTGTCCTTCTCATCCTGCGGCATTTTATCTACGTCCGCCACCAGCTTATTATATTCTTTTTGACTCTTCACAGTCGTGTTCGTTCCAGAGTGAACAAACGGCCCAAGCGTGATGGCTTCCCAGATGAGATAGCCATTGTCTTCAGATCCAACCACGTAATCTTCAAAGTGATGCGCTAATACTTCATAGTCTTGTGTGTAAAGAATGGGAACCCTTGTAGTGGATCCAATGCTGTTAGAGATGTTGATGGGATTAGTTTGAGAATCTTCGTGAGACATGGTGAGCCTTTCCTTAGAACCGCTAGAATCAGACCTGTAAACTTGATATTAGGGTTTTATCAAACACCAGAGTTACCGTCGACAGGAAGAAGACGACTTCTTTATATTCGATAAAAGCGGAAACCCTAAAGAATTCTTAATACAGAAGGAATGTGTATAGATCACACAGTCTCCTGCTCTGATACCAATTGTTAGAACAACGTTCTATTAGGATCGATAGATTCTAAGCAAATAAACAATAAAAGATGTAATTAAGAACACAAGAATGGCTTTAAAGATGTCGTATGATTAAACTTTAACACCTCAGAAGAGCTCGATTAAGAACTTCGACTGTAGAGGTGTTTAGGGTTACAAAACAATAATAATGATAATCAAGAACGTATCTAATGCATATATGCATGCACTATTTATAGTTTAACCCTACTAGATAATCACGGATGGACAGTCCCAATCCGGATATACAAAATAAGCCCATGACGCAACACAATAATACCCAACACTTGTCATAAAAGGATTTTCTCATACTCGTGTCATTAACGATGGTCCTTATCATACTCATGACATTGACTATGATCAAGCCTTTTCATAAGTATCTATGATTAGATAAACAATGATATTATTTACCATAACTACATATTCTTAATATGAAATATGGAAAAACAGATTTCAAGAAAACCCGCTTTCCTTAATAGACATCTACTAGAAGATATCTATATAACTTATCCTGGAGATTTTCTTAATCCATGTTATCCTAACAAAATGTGTAAGTCTTAAGATCCAATTATGGATATAAAGATAACATCTCAAATTTGGAATCATCATTTCAATATGAAAACACAAGGTGTGCTTGTATATCAAAACTGAAGATAACATGTGTATTTACTAAGAACTAGTGGGAGAATAGTGATATTCCTAATCTTGTATGAAGGAGACATACTTAATCATTGGAAATTACATTCTGACAATGCAAGGTCACTTCACCTTGACTCAAAAAGTGTTTCTAAAATGAAAGACTTAGGAATGGCAAGATACATTCTTGGAAAGTAAAATCTATAGAAATAGATAAAGATGAATGTTAAAAGTTCTGCATGAATTAATAATATCTTGAAAGAGGTCAAGATACAAGATTCCTTTAGAGGATTCTTAGCATCGTCACATGACACCATTTTGAGTATGTCTCAAAAGGACCTAGGACATAGGTTTGAGCTGGATGAAATGATATATATTCTATTTGCTTGGAAAATGAATCCATCATTTATGTCAAGTTGTGCAGAAGACTGGGTATATGATTATGCTATGAACATATCATGAGATACCAATTGAATACATGGGTTAGTCACTGGATGACTATCCGAACATTCTATGAGTACTTAAGAAGAAATAAGAGAATGTATATGAGATAATCAGTTTAGAATAAGATCTATATGTAAAGAGCTACATAAGATGCTAACTACAAAACAGATAAACATAATTATGAATTATAATTGGATTACGACTTAATTATGGAATGAAGAGTATGTTTCGAGGAAAGAGGTCCAAGCAAAACATAATTTCACAATCTAATAAATAAGAATACATTACTACTTTAGAAGTTGAAATAAAATATGATTAGATGAATGAGTTACATATTTTCCTAGCCCTTACTATCCTATTACTTGATGTTAATGATTGGCTGCCAAACCAATAGTTAATGAAACGTCTTTCCCCACGTTAATGATCTTGCTATGATACTAATAGTGAGTGAGACATACTTTTTGATGATGTCAAGGAATTTCCATATTAAACCATACAGTAAAGGAGTTTTATCAACCCAGTGTCTAGGAACATGTTGTATTACCCCATATAGTGTGCGATACATGACAAACAAACTGATGTCTAAGAAATGTTGTAATAAAACATACATTGTGTGAGTGATGAATCCCATCCCTCATGGGATAAGGATGTATTTCTTAGCAAGGATGAACTCGTCTAATGTCGAAGCCTAAATAAACCTAGAAAAGACGAAGCAACGCCAGTCGTCCACCGGGGGATGAGCCTGGGAGAACGCTCTGATGTGTAAGTTAGTTACGATATTTGGGTAATCGTGATTGAATAATGAATCTATTGTGATTGTTGAGAGCGTACTTGTTAGCACGGAGAACTAAACTGCTTTTATACTACTATTGTATTGGGAAAGCGGAGACAAGGTCGGACAGAACAGGTCCTCTTCTCATCGTCATTAATGCACCCCGTGATGAAGGTACAGAAGTGGTACTTATGAACTATTAGTAGTCTTGTAATTCTCGTTATCTAAGCTGGATAGGACCGTTAGTCCATGACAGGCCATTCATATGTTATTCTTGATGACTACATGACTTGACACTTGGGAATGCTAGTTCACAATGTCTCCCATAAGTAGAGTGGTTCGGCTTCATCATACATGATTCGATGTCCCAACATACGCTCGTTTGGATCGGTCTCCAGTGGATTAGAGTTCGTTATGCCAAGCCACTTCGGTTCGGAGGTGACATACCTCATTAAGTCCCCTAAGTTTAGATTATTGTTTTATAATTTGAATTTACTTACCATTCGTCAATATAGGCATCTAAATAGATAAACTCGACTGTCAAATTAGACGTCAAGTTTTAACCGTTCTGTGTCCCTATGACCCATGATTTCCTAACTTGTTACCGTTACCTCAAAACCACCCAGTATTCCTTATTTATCGAGCACGGTTGAGCCATTCTACTTCAAACTGCTCATTCCATCCTAATATCCATCTTCTCTCTCTCTCTCTCTCTATATATATATATATATATATATATATATATATATATATATATATATATATCTGCTAATTCCTCAAGTTCTTTTGATCTTTTTCCTCATATTTCATTTTTCAAAATGGTGAAAGATAATCACCCTATTCACACTACTTTCTCTACTCTGACTTAAGGCTCACTTGAAGACATCGTCAAGTCTTTCCACAGCGACCCCTTGTTCAAAACCCTTCTTCCTTCGACGGATCAAACCATCAACATTTTTGTCGAAGGCTTCGTTGGAGTTTATATTATATTTTTCAGGTCTAGGCCTTGATTACATGTGTTCGAGTTTCTCAACAAATTTATTAGGAATTACAAATTTCATATTGCCTAAATTACTCCCAATGGTTTTAAGAAGGTCATGTGCTTCGCCCTTTTGAATAGAGCCTTACATATAGCTCTATATTTGACTGTGTTTCGCCACTTTTATGTGACTATGGCGAGGGGGGATTGGGTATCCATTTCTTTGCATTCCAACGGAATCAATATATGTTATGGCCTTCCCACCTCTATCAAGAAATGGAAGACCGAGTTTTTCTTTGTAGAAGCATCCTTTTTCAGTGTTACTATGCAATTTGGGAGCCTTCTAAATCGATTGCACGACCCCAATCCTGAGCTTACGATAGACGAGCAATTGACTGTTGATCGGCTAGTTGCAAATTATGTTAAGTGGAGCGATCCAGACGATTCACTTCTCAAACTTGCTAACCTAGAGGGAAACCCTTACATGATTGATCGACCTTCAACTCCAGCCCTTCGTGGGCAGAATAACTCTCTACTCGAGCGTGTTCATCGCAATAGGAATGCCCCTAACCCTAAAGTCGCCGAGGGAACAACAACGATATCCGTGACCCCCGTAGAGGGAGAAATGGGGTTAGATTCCAAATCTAGCATTGATTCCCGCATGCAACCTGAGTCCGATGATCCCACTATGATCTCTTCATCCCCTCCAATAAATAAAAGAAAAGAGACTATCAATCGAAGGGTAAGCCTTCTGTTTTCACTTCGCCTAAGCCAACCGGGAAGATGAGCACCTCATCAAAATGTAAAAAAAGATTTTTCTTCACCAAAGGAATCCATTATCGGTGAATCAGAACAGGCGAACCCTCAATCCGAGTCCTCGATCAAAAAATATATCCTAAAGACTTTGTTTCTCCCAAGCGTTTGCATTCTTCACATCATTCCAAGCCTGCGAAGTTTCCGGACTCTAACAAAGCATCATCCAATATTATTTGGTTAATCCTACCTTCTCCAAACCTCTGTTTCCTCCCCCTATTGACTCGTCTTCAATTTATCTTTGTTAGGTATTTCTTAATATGCTCCTCCTTGGCTTCGTACGAACCATTAACCTGATTTACCACCAATGTGGAATCGACATATGCTTTTATTTTCATGATATGCATGCTTGCTACGAACTGTAACCCAACTAGGAGCGCCTCATACTCAACTTTATTATTAGAACACTTGAAATCGAACTAGAGTGAATAAGTAACTCGCTCTCTGGTCAGACTTTCCAACACAACTCCTACTCACAAATCATCATAACTTAATAATCCATCGGTATGTAGCGTCCAATGTTCATCCTTAACTGTCTTTGTCGTAGCCTTCGACCCTGCTCCAGGTGTCTTGATGTCATAAACATTCATCTCCTCCAGAATCTCCCTTAGGAAATCGGCCAGTGCTTGAGGTTTGATGCTCATACTTGGTTTATAAATAATGTCATACTCTCCCAGTTCTATGACCCACTTCATCATTCATCCGGACCTCTCTGGCTGTGTCAAAATTTGTCGAACAAACTGATCAGAAAACACTATTATCTGGTGATCTTGGAAGTATATGCGCAGCCTTCTCACTACAAAGACCAAAAAAAGATGCAAATTTTCGACCAAAGAATAGTTGAGTTCGGAACCCTGCAATACTCTTCTGACAAAATAAACCATCACTTATTTCTTCTCCCTTTCTGCAACTAGAACAACACTGATCACTTCTCGACTAGATGAAAGGTATGTTACCAAGATCTCATTTAACATTAGGCTCGCAAAAGTAGGTAACTTTCTTAAGTGTTCCTTAAGTTTGATGAGAGCCTCTCCCACTTCCTTCGACCATGTCACACCATTCTTACCCACTTGATTCTTGATTGCATGATAAAATGGAAGTGATTGCTCTACTGACTTTGCCAAAAAACCTTCCCAACGCTGCTAGCTTTCTGTTCAAACTCTGCACATATTTTACTGAACAAGGCGTTTTTAAATCCAAAAGTGTTTTTACTTTATCCAGATTAGCTTCAATTGCTTCGTAGGAGACGATGTGACACATAAATTTTCCCTTCTACATTCTGACTACACACTTCTTTGGGTTGAGTTTCATGTTCGCCTCCCTCAGTCGGATCATCACTTCTTCTATATCTCTTAAGAAGCCTTCATCTCCTTTGCTCTTGATAACCATATCCTCCATATATACTTCCACATTTCGGCCTATCTGCTTTTTGAATACTCTATATACCATTCCTTAATATGTGGCACCAACATTCCTTAAATTGAGTGGCATCTTGATGTAACAGGTGGTTCCTTTTTCCGTGTGAAAAGCTATTTTGTCTTCGTCTTCCTTTGACAATTGAATCTGGTGATACCCTTTATAAGCATCCATAAAATATTTCGATCGATACCCTCCAAGATAATCCACCTTTTGTTTTATATCTGGTAAAGGGTAGTTATCTTTCCGACAAACCTTGTTAAGGCTGGTGAATTCCATACACATTCTCATTGTCCCATCACCTTCCCTTACCAAGACCGGGTTGGTGATCCATTGTGGGAACTGAGTTTCCCTCATAACCCCAGCTTGGACCAGGTCTTCTACTTCTTTGTTGATTATCTCGTTCTGTTCTCGTGCCATCTACCGCTTCTTTTTCTTGATAGAGGCGAACTCGGGATTGATATAGAACCTATGCTCTATTATCATCCTCGGTATACCCATCATGTCCTTGAGCCTCCAACCAAAGACATCTGCATATGTATGTAAAAGCCCCTTTATCCCTTCCTTCAAGCTGTCTGATAGAGCCGAATCGATCCTCACCTTCTGGTCTACGTATTTGGGATTCATGTCTATCTTATCTTCTTCTGTAGAGGAGGTACCTTCGACCGTCAGACCTCTACTTACCTGTCCTTGCTTTGCAGTGTGACTTCGATCCATCAGGCGCAGTGTGATACTTCTTAGGGTGAGTATACCATGATCTGATGGGAACTTGAGCAAACTACGTACCGTTGAGGGTTCCGCTTGCAAATATCCATAGCCCAGTCCTTCCAAGACGCATACTATAGCGAGATGAAGCTTTTATGATGATGAAATTGGCCAGGTTGGTCTTGGCTAGGCATCTTTCGTAATCAGTCGACATAAACGGAAGGGATATTTATCCCTCCGGCCATACCACCTGCCCCGAAAATCCTACTATTGACAAGATAGCAGGTTTCACGAAACCTCTTACATCCTCAGGTAATTGGTTCAGAAAATTCTCGTATATAATATTTACCGTACTTCCATTATCCACATACACTCTATAGATAAGAGTCTTCCCTGTAGGGTTCAAAGTACTCCATGGATTATGACAATGGGCCCCCTTGATGAAGTGTAGGTTATTACACCGAAGATTTGTCTTATTACCTATATATTGTCATGTATCATTCATAATTAGGGATAAGAGTAAGGCAAAATGTAGCCGCTAAACATAATGAGGTTTCTTAGGTATAGTAGATTTACTTTAATCTGTTCTTATAATGTAATTTACTCCTCATGTTCTTGAATAAATCGTTTGATCATTCGACATATCTTCATTATTGTGTTCGTTCTTATTTTCCACATTATGTTCATCCAATCGTTCTTAGGGTTTTGACCCAACAAGTGGTATCAGAGCGGGTCTTTGAAGATCAATTGATTTTTGAAGTATCGGTTCTTGATTTGATGATTTTTTGCACAAGTTATTGAAGAGTTTTGGTGTTTTGGGGGTTTGGAATCAAGATTCTTATTCGATCTACTGTTCATGAAGATTTATGTTATTCTTCTACTTCATCTGGGTATTATTTTTTTCCGATTCGTATCCTGTTTGTATTTTCTGACTAGATCTTACTGATTGTTCAATTTAAAGTTATTCTATTGTTTCCCAGATCTAGTTCCATTGATTTTGCCCAATTGTTTTTAATCCATATTCATTCATCCGATGACATATTGCTCTTGAGCCCATATTCACTGTTTACTGTTCATTCGTTTCACTGAAAAAGCCCATTAATTTCGTTCAATGTTCATTGATTGTTCTTCTATTGCTGTTTGAAATAACAAAATCATGCAAGTCAAAATTCTTATTTGATTTAGTAGTTTAATTTCATGGTGATTGAACATCTTTTTGTTCTGCTGTATCTTACTATTCTCGATTTCTATTTGATTTGCTCATTGTTTTGGTCTTGCTCTTGAGTTTTGACTTTAAAATCAATTTTGTTTGACCTAATCGACTTTGTTCTCGAGTTTTGTTTGACCCAATCGCGATTGCTAATAATTTTAGTGAATGAGAATCATCTCGTGGTATCTGTATGATTGATTATGATAATGGGTCTAGATTTTCCATTCAATGTTAATTAGGGATTGTTATTGATGAATTGATCATTTGTATTATGAGAACTGATGAAGAACGGATGAAGACGAATCAATGAGTGGATATTTTTGGAACAATGGGGTAATGAATAATTTGGCAGTCGGAATGATGTCACTCGATTGGAACTTAAATCTAAACTGAAATTGCAAAATCAATCTGAATCATGTTGCTCAGAATGAATGAATCGGAGTGTCCAGTAATAGAAACAATTGGAAAAAGATATTTTTGGTGGTCAATGCTAATAGTCAAAATTGGAACGAATGGTCTCACCTACGAATATAATCGGATACAAAGGCTGTATCGGAATGACTGTGAAATTCGGAACCTATGCTTGGAACATTGGTGTTAATCGGAATTGTTTGGCATTCGGAACTTGAACAAAATTCGGAATTGGAACTAAATTTTGGAACTGTTATGAAGAGCGACTCATATTCGAAATTAGAATATGGCTCGCAATCGGAAGTGTGATTGGATGGTTTGATACGGAAAGAACTGGTGCTCGGAATCGAAAGAGGTTGAACGGAGCTCGGACTTTTGGTTGATCTCGGAATCAGTCTCATGGATTCGGAATCAGAAGTTCTTGTTTCACGAATCAATTTTTCGGTTCGCTTTTATCCGTTCCAACGGGGAAGAAGACTTTAATTTACATTCTTGGTCCCTGTAACTTCAACGATATGACGGTTTAAGTCCAATTTCCGAATTTATTACAAATCAAAGTGATAATGATGAGAATTACTATTTAAGTCCCTGACTTTCAGCAAATGACATTTTCTGCCCAATATTCAGGATTGTTTGCAAATTTAAGGGATGATGAACATACTTGGGATTTTTTTATGAACATATTTTTCCATGAACAGAAATTATGGATTCCAACAAGTCTTGGCGGTTCGGAAGGTCGTTTTTCGCGATAACGTCAAATTTTTTCAACTATTTCGGATTTTAAACTTCAATGTTTATTTGATTTTGTCACAGAGGAGCATAGTATTTATTTATCCATTCAAGATCATTCTCATGACCATTTGCAAGTTTTATAATCATGTTTTTATTATAAAAAAGGGGAAATTTGATATGGCCATTCGAAATTGGATTTGTGACTTTTCAAATTTGAAGATTTTTTATGAAGCTTGTGGTTGGTGTCGACATGAAGGTAGCTTTCACAGAAAAGTTCAAGAGGAACTCTTCTAAAGCTTTTACATAGAAGTAGCTTTTATAGAAAAGTTAAAGAGGAACTCTTCTAAAGCTTTGTTATATCTCCGAATTTTAGTGATTGCTCGATCAAGTGACGTTACGAATCTTAAATTTGGTTTGTCACATGATATTTTTGGTGGCTTATATCATTAGCTTATTTGAAGATCATTGTGACTTGGAGGGGGAGTTCTTCAAAGACAAGA